CTGATCCCACCCATCCCCGCCCCACTGATCCCACCCCCCTGATCCTTTCCCCCAATCCCTGCCCCACTGATCCCCCAAATCCTCTGCCCCACTGCTCCCTGCCCCACTGATCTCTGCCCCACTGATCCTCTGCCCCACAGAGACGTCAAGGCCGGCAACATCCTTCTGACGGAGCCGGGGCAGGTGAAACTGGGCGACTTTGGCTCCGCCTCCATCGTGGCCCCGGCCAACTCCTTCGTGGGGACCCCCTACTGGTGAGTTGGGGGGCACTTGTGGGGCTCAGCCCCATAGCGGGGAGCCGCCCCTCACCCCTCTCCCTGCCCCATAGGATGGCCCCCGAAGTCATCCTGGCCATGGACGAGGGTCAATACGACGGCAAAGCCGACGTCTGGTCCTTGGGCATCACCTGCATCGAGTTGGGTGAGGACTTGGGGGGTTGGTGGAGCTACTTATGGGGCTGAGCCCCACGGCGCCGCCGCCGCCGCCGCCGCCGCCCCCTAAGTTTTTCCGGCCCCACAGCGGAGAGGAAGCCCCCCCTGTTCAACATGAACGCGATGAGCGCCCTGTACCACATCGCGCAGAACGAGTCCCCCGTCCTCCAGGCCAATCACTGGTGAGCTCCGTCCTCCTCCCACCAATCAACCTTCTCCCCCTCCCCCGCCTTCCTGCCGGGAGGCGCGGCTCCGCCCTAGAGATGTGGGGCAGAGCCCCTAGACTCCATAACTACCTTCAGTTATGGGGCGGCGGGTTCCTCCCGGGGGGGGCAGGTCGGAATATTTCCGCAATTTCGTGGATTCGTGTCTTCAGAAGATCCCGCCCGATCGTCCCACCTCCGAGGTGCTCCTCAAGGTCGGTTGGGGGGCAGGGTGGGGGTCACCGTGGGGTGTCCCCACCTTCGGCGGGGGGGGGGACGTCCCCTCTGCCCCCCAAGTGTCCCCCCAACTTTTTGGTTGTCCCTTTCTCCAGCATCGGTTCCTCCTGCGAGAGCGGCCCCAGAGGGTGGTCCTGGACCTCATCCAACGCACCAAAGACGCCGTCCGGGAGTTGGACAACCTCCAGTACCGCAAGATGAAGAAGATCCTCTTCCAGGAGGCCCCCAACGGACCCGATCCCGGCGAGGAAGAGGAGGTGAGGAAGGGCCCACCCCAACCAACCAACCCCTTGGGTCATCTTCTGGGGGGTTTTGGTGACCCTCGGGGAGGTTCTTGGGGTCTTCTCCACCATCTTGAGATGTTCCTGAGGTTCCTCGTCACCTCCTGGGGTCTTGGTGACCCTCAGGGAAGGTTCTCCTGAGGTTCTTGGGGTCTTCTCCATCATCTTGGGATGTTCCTGGGGTCTTCTCCACCATCTTGGAAGGTTCCTGAGGTTCCTTCTCATCTCCTGGGGTCTTGGTGACCCTCAGGGAAGGTTCTCCTGAGGTTCTTGGGGTCTTCTCCATCATCTTGGGTGGTTCCTGAGGTTCTTTGTCATCTCCTGGGGTCTCCTCCACCATCTTGGCATCTCCTCGTCATCTCCTGGGGTCTTCTCCATCCTGGTGGCCCGTCCCCGTGTCCCCTTTGTCACCTCCTGGGGTCTTGGTGACCTCACAGAAGGTTCTCCTGAGGTTCTTGGGGTCTTCTCCATCATTTTGGGAGGTTCCTGAGGTTCCTCGTCATCTCCTGGGGTCTTGGTGACCCTCAGGGAAGGTTCTCCTGAGGTTCCTGGGGTCTTCTCCACCATCTTGGAAGGTTCCTGAGGTTCCTTCTCATCTCCTGGGGTCTTGGTGACCCTCACAGAAGGTTCTTCTGAGGTTCTTGGGGTCTTCTCCACCATCTTGGGATGTTCCTGGGGTCTTCTCCATCCTGGTGGCCCGTCCTCGTGTCCCCTTTGTCACCTCTTGGGGTCTTGGTGACCTCACAGAAGGTTCTCCTGAGGTTCTTGGGGTCTTCTCCACCATCTTGGGATGTTCCTGGGGTCTTCTCCATCCTGGTGGCCCGTCCTCGTGGCCCCTTTGTCACCTCTTGGGGTCTTGGTGACCTCACAGAAGGTTCTCCTGAGGTTCTTGGGGTCTTCTCCACCATCTTGGGATGTTCCTGGGGTCTTCTCCATCCTGGTGGCCCGTCCTCGTGGCCCCTTTGTCACCTCTTGGGGTCTTGGTGACCTCACAGAAGGTTCTCCTGAGGTTCTTGGGGTCTTCTCCACCATCTTGGGATGTTCCTGGGGTCTTCTCCATCCTGGTGGCCCGTCCTCGTGTCCCCTCTGTCATCTTCTGGGGTCTTGGTGACCCTCAGGGAAGGTTCTCCTGAGGTTCTTGGGGTCTTCTCCACCATCTTGAGATGTTCCTGAGGTTCCTTGACATGTCCTGGGGTCTTCTCCATCATCTTGGGATCTCCTCATCACCTCTTGGGGTCTTGGTGACCCTCAGGGAAGGTTCTCCTGTGGTTCTTGGGGTCTTCTCCACCATCTTGGGTGGTTCCTGAGGTTCTTTGTCATCTCCTGGGGTCTCCTCCACCATCTTGGCATCTCCTCGTCATCTCCTGGGGTCTTCTCCATCCTGGTGGCCCGTCCCCGTGTCCCCTTTGTCACCTCCTGGGGTCTTGGTGACCTCACGGAAGGTTCTCCTGAGGTTCTTGGGGTCTTCTCCACCATCTTGAGATGTTCCTGAGGTCCTTTGTCATCTCCTGGGGCTGTGGCCACCCTCGTGTCACCTCCCTGAGGTCCTCATGGATCTCCATGGCCCATCTCCACGTCCCACCTTGGCTCCAGTTGCCCCCAGTGGAACATCTCCCAGGTTCTGGTTGACCTCCATGGAAGTTCTTCAGGTTCTCCATGGAAGTTCTTCCATGTTCTCCTTGATCTTGATGGTTCCTCTCCATCTTCTCACCCAACCTGAGGTCCCCTTGTCCCTGTGTCACCTCCCTGAGGTCCTGGTTGACCCTCGTGGTCCATCCCCACGTCCCACCTTGGCTCCAGTTGCCCCCAGTGGAACTTCTCCCAGGTTCTGGTTGACCTCCATGGATCATCTCTGAAGTTCTGGTTGGTCTCCATGGTTCCTGTCCACATCCTTGTCCCCGTGTCACCTCCATGAGGTCCTCCTTGATCTCCATGGCCCATCCCCACGTCCCACCTTGGCTCTAGGTGACCCCAGTGGAACATCTCCCAGGTTCTGGTTGACCTCCATGGATCATCTCTGAAGTTCTGGTTGGTCTCCATGGTTCCTGTCCACATCCTTGTCCCCGTGTCACCTCCCTGAGGTCCTGGTTGACCCTCGTGGTCCATCCCCGCGTCCCACCTTGGCTCCAGGTGACCCCAGTGGAACATCTCCCAGGTTCTGGTTGACCTCCATGGATCATCTCTGAAGTTCTGGTTGGTCTCCATGGTTCCTGTCCACATCCTTGTCCCCGTGTCACCTCCCTGAGGTCCTGGTTGACCCTCGTGGTCCATCCCCACGTCCCACCTTGGCTCCAGTTGCCCCCAGTGGAACTTCTCCCAGTTTCTGGTTGACCTCCATGGATCATCTCTGAAGTTCTGGTTGGTCTCCATGGTTCCTGTCCACATCCTTGTCCCCGTGTCACCTCCATGAGGTCCTCCTTGATCTCCATGGCCCATCCCCACGTCCCACCTTGGCTCCAGGTGACCCCAGTGGAACATCTCCCAGGTTCTGGTTGACCTCCGTGGAAGTTCTCCGAGGTTCTGGTTGATTTCCGTGGAACTTCTTCCTCGATCTTCATGGTTCCTCTCCATCTTCTCACCCAACCTGAGGTCCCCTTGTCCCCGTGTCACCTCCCTGAGGTCCTCATTGACCCCCATGGCCCATCCCCACGTCCCACCTTGGCTCCAGTTGCCCCCAGTGGAACATCTCCCAGGTTCTGGTTGACCTCCATGGAAGTTCTTCAGGTTCTCCATGGAAGTTCTTCCATGTTCTCCTTGATCTTGATGGTTCCTCTCCATCTTCTCACCCAACCTGAGGTCCCCTTGTCCCTGTGTCACCTCCCTGAGGTCCTGGTTGACCCTCGTGGTCCATTGATGTTCTGGTTGACCTCTATGGAAGTTCTTCCAGGTTCTCCTTGATCTTGATGGTTCCTCTCCATGTTCTCACCCAACCTGAGGTCCCCTTGTCCCCGTGTCACCTCCCTGAGGTTGTCCTTGATCTCCATGGCCCATCTCCATGTCCCACTTTGGCTCCAGGTGACCCCAGTGGAACATCTCCCAGGTTCTGGTTGACCTCCATGGAAGTTCTCCGAGGTTCTGGTTGATTTCCGTGGCACGTTTCCAAGTTCTCCTTGATCTTGATGGTTCCTCTCCATGTTTTCACCCAACCTGAGGTCCCCTTGTCCCCGTGTCACCTCCCTGATGTCCCCTCCCTCCCCCTTGTCCCCCCCCCCAGGAGGTGGAGCCCTTCCTGCGGCGGGCGGGGACGCTGGGGAGCATGGAGAGCAGCCACTCGGTGCCCAGCATGTCCATCAGCGCCTCCAGCCAGAGCAGCAGCGTCAACAGCTTGGCCGACCCTTCGGAGGAGGAAGAGGAGGAGGTGGAGGAAGAGGATGAAGAAGAAGACGAGGAGGAGGAGGAGGAGGAAGAGGAGGAAGAAGGTCCCCAGTTGGCCATGCTCCAGGAGGGGGAGCACACAGTCACCTCCAACAGCTCCGTCGTCCAGCGCTTGCCCGTGAGTTGGCTTCGAGGTGGGGGGGACGTAGGGATGGGGGGCCACCACCTTGGGGACGTCCCGATGGAGGGCCACCACCTTGGGGGGCGGTTCTGAGGTGTGGGGCCAGCTCCGTGGGGACGTCCCGATGGGGGGCCACCAGGATAGAGAGGTTCTGCTGGGGGTTCTACCATCTCCAGAAGGTTCTAAGATGGGGGGCCACCACCCTGGGGACCTCCCGATGGAGGGCCACCACCTTGGGGAGGTCCAGATGGGGGGCCACCACCTTGGGGGATGGTTCTGAGGTGTGGGGCCAGCTTCATGGGGAGGTTCTGATGGGGGGCCACCACCGTGGGGACATCCTGATGGGGGGCCACCATGATAGAGAGGTTTTGCTGGGGGTTCTACCATCTCCAGAAGGTTCTAAGATGGGGGCCCACCACCTTGGGGAGGTCCAGATGGGGGGCCACCACCTTGGGGATGTCCCAATGGAGGGCCACCACCCTGGGGAGGTCCAGATGGGGAAGGTCCACCTTGGGGGGTGGTTCTGAGGTGTGGGGCCAGCTCCGTGGGGACGTCCCGATGGGGGGCCACCAGGATAGAGAGGTTCTGCTGGGGGTTCTACCATCTCCAGAAGGTTCTAAGATGGGGGCCCACCACCTTGTGGAGGTCCCGAAGGGGGGCCACCACCTTGGGGAGGTTGTTATGGGGTTCTACCACCGTGAGGAAACCCCATTGAGATCCACCACGGGGAGATCCCATTGAGATCTACCACCCTGGGGAGGTCATTATGGGGGTCCACCACCATGAGAAGGTTGTTATGGGGTTCCACCACCCTGGGAAGGTCTTTATGGGGTTCCACCACTGTGAGGAACCCCATTGAGATCCACCACGGGGAGATCCCATTGAGATCCACCACCATGAGAAGGTCATTATGGGGGTCCAGATGGTTCTGAGGTGTGGGGCCAGCTTCATGGGGAGGTTCTGATGGGGGGCCACCACCGTGGGGACATCCTGATGGGGGGCCACCATGATAGAGAGGTTTTGCTGGGGGTTCTACCATCTCCAGAAGGTTCTAAGATGGGGGCCCACCACCTTGGGGAGGTCCAGATGGGGGGCCACCACCTTGGGGATGTCCCAATGGAGGGCCACCACCCTGGGGAGGTCCAGATGGGGAAGGTCCACCTTGGGGGGTGGTTCTGAGGTGTGGGGCCAGCTCCGTGGGGACGTCCCGATGGGGGGCCACCAGGATAGAGAGGTTCTGCTGGGGGTTCTACCATCTCCAGAAGGTTCTAAGATGGGGGCCCACCACCTTGTGGAGGTCCCGAAGGGGGGCCACCACCTTGGGGAGGTTGTTATGGGGTTCTACCACCGTGAGGAAACCCCATTGAGATCCACCACGGGGAGATCCCATTGAGATCTACCACCCTGGGGAGGTCATTATGGGGGTCCACCACCATGAGAAGGTTGTTATGGGGTTCCACCACCCTGGGAAGGTCTTTATGGGGTTCCACCACTGTGAGGAACCCCATTGAGATCCACCACGGGGAGATCCCATTGAGATCCACCACCATGAGAAGGTCATTATGGGGGTCCACCACCCCAGGAAGGGCTTAATGGGGTTCCACCACTGTGAGGATCCCCCATTGAGATCCACCACGGGGAGATCCCATTGAGATCTACCACCCCAGGGAGGTCCTTATGGGGTTCCACCACCCCAGGGAGGTCATTATGGGGGTCCACCACCATGAGAAGTTCGTTATGGGTTTCCACCCCCATGAGGAAACCCCATTGAGATCCACCACAGGGAGATCCCATTGAGATCTACCACCATGAGAAGGTCATTATGGGATTCCACTACCCCAGGGAGGTCATTATGGGGGTCCACCATCATGAGGAAACCCCATTGAGGTTCACCATGGGGAGATCCCATTGAGATCCACCACCATGAGAAGGTCGTTATGGGGTTCCACCACCCCAGGGAGGTCATAATGGGGGCCCACCGCCCTGGGAAGGTCTTCATGCCCCATTGAGATCCACCATGGGGAGATCCCATTGAGATCTACCACCCCGGGGAGGTCATTATGGGGTTCCACCACCGTAAAGAATCCCCATTGAGATCTATTACTGGGAGATCCCATTGAGATCCACCAACCCAGGGAGGTCATTATGGGGTTCTACCACCATGGGGAGGTCATTATAGGGTTCCACTACCGTAAGGAACCCCCATTGAGATCCACCTCGGGGAGATCCCATTGAGATCTACCACCCTGGGGAGGTCGTTATGGGGTTCCACCACCCTGGGGAGGTCGTTATGGGGTTCCACCACCCTGGGGAGGTCGTTAGGGGGTTCCACCACCCTGGGAAGGTTGTTATGGGGTTCCACCACCCTGGGAAGGTCATTATGGGGTTCCACCACCGTGAGGAAACCCCATTGAGATCCACGATGGAGAGATCCCATTGAGATCCGCTGCCGTGGGGAGGTCTTTATGGGGTTCTACCACCATGAGAAGGTCATTATGGAGTTCCACCACCCCGGGGAGGTCATTATGGGGGTCCACCATCATGAGGAAACCCCATTGAGGTTCACCACGGGGAGATCCCATTGAGATCTACCACCATGAGAAGGTCATTATGGGGGTCCACCGTCCTGGGAAGGTCTTTATGGGGTTCCACCACCATGAGAAGGTCGTTATGGGGTTCCACCACCGTAAGGAACCCTCATTGAGATCCACCACGGAGAGATCCCATTGAGATCCACCACCCCAGGGAGGTCCTTATGGGGTTCCACCACCATGAGAAGGTCGTTATGGGGTTCCACCACCCCGGGGAGGTCATTATGGGGGTCCACCACCCTGGGAAGGTCTTTATGGGGTTCCACCACTGTGAGGATCCCCCATTGAGATCCACCACGGGGAGATCCCATTGAGATCTACCACCATGAGAACGTCATTATGGGGTTCTACCACCCTGGGGAGGTCATAATGGGGGTCCACCACCGTGGGGAGGTCGTTATGGGGTTCCACCACCATGAGAAGGTCATTGTGGGGTTCCACCACCCTGGGAAGGTCATTATGGGGTTCCACCACTGTAAGGAACCCCCATTGAGATCCACCATGAGGAAACGCCATTGAGATCCACCACGGGGAGATCCCATTGAGATCTATCACCCTGGAGAGGCCATTATGGGGGTCCACCACCCCGGGGAAGTTGTTATGGGGGTCCACCACCATGAGAAGGTCATTATGGGGGTCCACCACCCCAGGAAGGGCTTAATGGGGTTCCACCACTGTGAGGATCCCCCATTGAGATCCACCACGGGGAGATCCCATTGAGATCTACCACCTCAGGGAGGTCCTTATGGGGTTCCACCACCCCAGGGAGGTCATTATGGGGGTCCACCACCATGAGAAGTTCGTTATGGGGCTCCACCACCCCAGGGAGGTCATTATAGGGTTCCACCACCGTGAGGAACCCCATTGAGATCCACCACGGGGAGATCCTGTTGAGATCTACCACCCTGGGGAGGTCATTATGGGGTTGCACCACCATGAGGAGGTTGTTATGGGGTTCCACCACCATGAGAAGGTCATTATGGGGTTCCACCACCCCAGGGAGGTCATTATGGGGTTCCACCACCATGAGGACCCTGGGAAGGTCTTCATGCCCCATTGAGATCCACCATGGGGAGATCCCATTGAGATCTACCACCCCGGGGAGGTCATTATGGGGTTCCACCACCGTAAAGAATCCCCATTGAGATCTATTACTGGGAGATCCCATTGAGATCCACCAACCCAGGGAGGTCATTATGGGGTTCTACCACCATGGGGAGGTCATTATAGGGTTCCACTACCGTAAGGAACCCCCATTGAGATCCACCTCGGGGAGATCCCATTGAGATCTACCACCCTGGGGAGGTCGTTATGGGGTTCCACCACCCTGGGGAGGTCGTTATGGGGTTCCACCACCCTGGGGAGGTCGTTAGGGGGTTCCACCACCCTGGGAAGGTTGTTATGGGGTTCCACCACCCTGGGAAGGTCATTATGGGGTTCCACCACCGTGAGGAAACCCCATTGAGATCCACGATGGAGAGATCCCATTGAGATCCGCTGCCGTGGGGAGGTCTTTATGGGGTTCTACCACCATGAGAAGGTCATTATGGAGTTCCACCACCCCGGGGAGGTCATTATGGGGGTCCACCATCATGAGGAAACCCCATTGAGGTTCACCACGGGGAGATCCCATTGAGATCTACCACCATGAGAAGGTCATTATGGGGGTCCACCGTCCTGGGAAGGTCTTTATGGGGTTCCACCACCATGAGAAGGTCGTTATGGGGTTCCACCACCGTAAGGAACCCTCATTGAGATCCACCACGGAGAGATCCCATTGAGATCCACCACCCCAGGGAGGTCCTTATGGGGTTCCACCACCATGAGAAGGTCGTTATGGGGTTCCACCACCCCGGGGAGGTCATTATGGGGGTCCACCACCCTGGGAAGGTCTTTATGGGGTTCCACCACTGTGAGGATCCCCCATTGAGATCCACCACGGGGAGATCCCATTGAGATCTACCACCATGAGAACGTCATTATGGGGTTCTACCACCCTGGGGAGGTCATAATGGGGGTCCACCACCGTGGGGAGGTCGTTATGGGGTTCCACCACCATGAGAAGGTCATTGTGGGGTTCCACCACCCTGGGAAGGTCATTATGGGGTTCCACCACTGTAAGGAACCCCCATTGAGATCCACCATGAGGAAACGCCATTGAGATCCACCACGGGGAGATCCCATTGAGATCTA